CGCCCCCGCGCCTCCTGGGGGGCCGTAGCGAAGCAACGCCCGGCACGCCCGCCCATCCCCTGCTGCCCTTTTTTTCCTGGCCGGGTGCGAGGGGGCATGCCCGTGCCTGGCCTCAGCCAGCCAAGAGTTAACCCCAGGGGCGTGGAGCTGACCCCCCCTCGGGGGCGTGCCCCCCTCTCCCGCTAGGCTGCCCGCCCCCCGCGCTAGGGTATGGCCCTCGGCCCCGACCCGGGGCCCGAGGTCCCGTGCACGGGCCAGTGAAAGGCATTTTCCCGTTCCCGCCCTCCTTCCCTCGCCGACCAGCACCATGGGATGTAATATGTGCGTGGTCCAGAAACCGGAGGAGCAGTACAAAGTGATGCTTCAGGTAGGGCGGCTGGGCCGCTGGGGCGGGGTGCGTGGGCGCCACCAGGCTAAGAAGCCAGCCCGCAGGGAAGGCCTGGTGGAGCTGGGGCCGTAGACGTGGGAGGGCTGGAGGGCTCGAAGAGGAAGAGGTGGGGAGCCATCCTCCCTCTCAGTTTCTGGGGCTGCTGGGTGTTGGCGCTCCGTGGGAACCAGTCACAGATGGGGGGAGCTGCGTGGGACTGGGGGTGCAGGCGTATCCTTTGGGCGCCCAGGGTAGCTTGGGACGCGAGCCCTGCGTCCAAATCGACCCGAGTAGGGAAGTTGGGCTCGGCCCGGGTCCGGCGCGCTTGCACCCCGGACCTGGGAGCCGGTAGGCGCGGTGTTGCCGGCGCCAGAGCGGGATGGAGGTTGCATAGCAACGGGCTCCATTCCTTGCACACGCACGCCCCGCTGGACCCAGGGCGGGGGAGGGAGCCAGGCGGCCAGATTCAGGTCCCTGCGGGCCAGGGGTGCAGGAGCACGCGGGCGGCCCGGGGCCCCACCGACGTCTGCCCGGGGCCGAGGTACCTACTCCCGCACCCACTCTCCATTCTGGCCCTGCCCAAACAGTGGGCTCCCAGGCCTTGGGTGCCTCGGGTGAGTGGCTGCAACCAGGGTCAGCGGTGAGGGCCGTCTGCGGGCGGCGATGCCCGGTCTTCCCTCTGCCTTGCAGGGCCTCAGGCCCTGGGCCGCGGGGAGCGTGGACTGGGAGGTGCGCGGCGGGGAGGAACGGGAGACGCTGGGCCCCGCGCTCGGACTCGGAGTGCAGGCCCATGGCCCGGAGCGGGGCTTCCTTGCCTGTGCGTGGCATGACTTCGTGAGTGTGTGCCTGTGCCCCGTCTGTGTGTGCGCGGAGGCTCGCTCCTCTGGACCCTCGTGTGTGTACTTTCTGTGTGCGCTCTGAGAGCTGTCTAGAGAAATGTCCCGGATGGTGTGGCTTGAGACGCCCCCAGGGCTAAGTGGAGGGAGTTTAAGGTCAGAAGGAGTGAGGTCCCAGGGGCAGACCGGGCGCAGACAGGTATACGCTTCAACTTGGGGTTTATTGGTCAGGACTGGGGAGCAAGTGCAGGCTGGAGCGGTGATAGCTGGGGGAATGGGGTCTCCTTAGAAGAATAGCGGGAACCCGGACAGGCAGGGAGTGGGTGCGGTGGAGGGGAGAGAATCAGTCATCAGGTGATTGGGGAGGCTTCGGGAGCCCAGCCTTGGTGCTGTGAGTCTAGTTCCTCTGGCCACCGTGAGCGGGAGACCAGGCAGGCAGGTGGGGGAATCTTGCCCTAGCCTGGCGTCACTCCTCATCCACTCTTCCGGGCTGGGTCTCCGGGGTCACGAGGGGCCCTCTGCTTTCTTTCTGCCATTCTTGCCCCTGGACTGCTTCCTCATGTCTCTTCTCGCTGTTTGGAAATCCTGCCTGGCCATTGCCATTGCCATTGTCCCCTCGTGGGACTGGGTTCCAGGATGACCTAGGCCGGGACCGAGAGGCAGTGCTGTGGAATCCCAGTGGTGGACCCAGGGGATGCTGGCGGGAGGTGGGCTGCGCTGGTTGGTTGATGAGGCTGTGGGATCCCATCCTCACTGCTTCCTTTCTTGGAATAATTCCATCCAATGGCAAGCGATTCCAGAGCGGTTGGCTCTTGACTTCCTTGGAGAGGGATTGATGTAGTATTTCACTTAAAGGCGGACTGCATGGGGATGTGTGGACAGCAGAGGGCAACCTGCACTGCACTACAGGCTTGAAATGAGCCAAGGTTGGGAGGCGACTCTGTGGTGACCCTTCGGGCACCCCGTGGCAGTGGGGGCAGCCTGCCACAGGTTGGGCTGGGACTGCCTTCAGGGAGGCTCCATGTCAGAGGAGGGCTTGAGGTAAACCTGGGCAGGAAAGTCCTGGGCCAGGCTTTCTTCCTTGAGAGAGAGCTCTAAGCCCTGGGCAAGTAGGTTCTCAGGAGGAGGGCCACCGCAGGCCCACTGCCCTCCACTTTTTCCTGGTCTGGGCTGTTGCCATCACTGACCAGTCCCTGGGGATGCTTCTCCCTTTTAAAGCTTCTGCAGAAGTTTGGATGGAATTGGAGACTAGATGCAGTTTTAAAAAAGGAATTATCCTTTAAAATTAAGGGAAGACAAAAGAGGTTTGAAAAAAAATCTAGAAAGCAGGGAAAAACATTAGCTATCTCAGATGATCCTGTTCCTGGCCCGAACCTCTTAAAGGAGAAGGAAGGAAGCTTTTGTCCCAGAAGACCAGGAAGCTCCCAGGACCCCGTGCCTGGACCCGCACTTCTTAGACATTGCGGCTCCCCCAACTGCAGTGGCACTTCTTGTCTCGTCCATACTGGCCCGTGGCCTCCGCACCTTACTGGACACAGTGCAGCCAGAGAAGTGCACAAGTGCACCTCTGCCACTTGCCATGTGGCTTCTTCATGCCAGGGCTTCCCTGAGCCTCTTCCTAGATCCCCAGAGGGCTCTGATCCCCAGGTTAAGGACACCCAAGTCTCTATCCTAGCCTTCAGTTCCAGGCCCTTTTCTCCTGGTGACTCACAGGCAGTTAAAAAAAACCCTACAGCTTTACTGAGATAATTTGCATACCCTTGTTAAGTGGTTTTTACAATTCACTGGTTTTTAGTACAGTCACGCGCCACATAAAGTTGTTTCAGTCAACGACGGACCACACATGCAATAGTGGTCTCATTAAGATTAGTAACATATAGCTTAGATGGATAGTAGCCTGTACTGTCTAGGTTTGTGTAAGTACACTCTGATGTCCCCACAACAACGAGATTATCAGAACATATCCCATCGTTAAGCGATACACAACTGTATATTCAGTGTGCAACCATCACCACTATCTAATTCCAGAATATTTTCATCACCCCGTCCCCCTTAGCAGTCACATATCCATTTCCCCCAATACCTCCCAGCCCCTGGCACCCACTTACCTGCTTTCTGTCTTTATGGATTTGCCTGTTCCAGACATTTCATCTAAATGGAACCATATGATGTATGACCTTTTGTCATGGCTTCTTTCTTCTTTTTTTTTTAATTTTTAAAATTTTATTGAGGTCATAGTGGTTTATAACATTGTGTAATTTCAGGTGTACATTATTATATATCAGTTTCTGTATAGACTGTATCATGCTCCACCAATAGTCTGGTTTTTATCCGTCAATGTACAGATGAGCCCCTTTACCCCTTTCGCCCTCTTCCCACCCCCTTCCCCTCTGGTAACCACCAATCTGTTCTCTTTATCCATGTGTTTGTTTATCTTCCACATATGAGTGAAATCATACAGTGTTTGACTTTCTCTGTCAGGCTTATTTCGCTTAACATAATACCCTCAAGGTCCATCCGTGTTGTTGCAAATGGGATGATTTTATCTTTTTTTTATGGCTGAGTAGTATTCCCTTGTATATATATACCACATCTTTATCCATTCATCAGTTGATGAGCACTTGGGTTGCTGTCATGGCTTGGCTATTGTGAATAATGCTGCAATGAACATAGGGGTGCATAAATCTCTTTGAATTGTTGATTTCAAGTTCTTTGGATAAATACCCAGTAGGGGATAGCTGGATCATATGGTATTTCTATTATTAATTTTTTGAGAAATCTCCATGCTATTTTCCATAGGGGCTGTACCAGTTTGCATTCCCACCAGCAGTGTATGAGGGTTCCCTTTTCTCCACATCCTCTCCAACACTTATTATTTCTTGTCTTGTTAATTATAGCCATTCTGACTGGTGTGAGGTGATATCTCATTGCAGTTTTGATTTGCATTTCCCTAATAATTAGTGATGTTGAACATCTTTTCATGTGCCTGTTGGCCATCTGTATATCTCTTTGGAAAAATGTCTGTTCATATCCTCTGCCCATTTTTTGATCGGGTTGTTTGTCTGTTTATTGTTGAGTTGTATGAGTTCTTTATATATTTTGGAAATTAACCCCTTGTTGGATATATGATTTGCAAATATTTTCTCCCAGTTGGTGGGTTGTGTTTTCTTTTTGTTCATGGTTTCCTTTGACTTGCAGAAGCTTTTAATCTTTTTTTTTTTTGTGAGGAAGATCAGCCCTGAGCTAACATCCATGCCAATCCTCCTCTTTTTTTGCTGAGGAAGACAGGCTCTGAGCTAACATCTATTGCCAATCCTCCTCCTTTTTTTCCCCCAAAGCCCCAGTAGATAGCTGTATGTCATAGTTGAACATCCTTCTAGTTGCTGTATGTGGGACACCGCCTCAGCATGGCCGGAGAAGCGGTGCATTGGTGCACGCCCGGGATACAAACCTGGGCCGCCAGTAGCAGAGCATGCGCACTTAACCGCTAAGCCACGGGGCCGGCCCCCCTGTTTAAGTTATTGAGGAGCTGCTGAACTGTTTTCCACAAGGGCTGTACCATTTTACATTCCCACCAGCAATGTAAGAGTTCAATTTCTCCAAATCCTCCCCAACACGTTTTTGATTTATAGCCCTCCTACTGGGTATGAAGTGGTATCTCATTGTGGTTTTGATTTGTATTTCCTGATGGCTAAATGATGTAGAGCATCTTTTCCTGTACTATTGGCCATTTGCATATCTTTTCTGGAGAAATGCCTATCTTGATGCTAGTTCCACAGTGGTTTTACCATAGCTTTGTTAAGTAAATTTTGAAATCAGCTGGTTTGAGTCTTCCAACTTTGTACTCCTCAAGAGTGTTGGCTCTTCTGGGTCCCTTGAGTTTCCACATCAGTTTTAGGATCAGCTTGTCAATTTCTGAAAAGAAGCCAGCTGTGATTTTGTGGGAATTACATTTAACCTGTAGATCAGTTTGGGGGAATATTAACCATGAACATGGGGTGTCTTTCCATTTGGGTCTTCAATTTCTTTCAAAGATGTTTTGCACTTTTGTTAAATTTATTCCTGAGTATTTTATTCTTTATGGTGCTATGGTAAGTGGAATTGTTTTCTTAATCCTTTTCATCTTTCTCATTGCCACTGTATAGAAATACAATTGCTTTTTGT